TTTTTTTTTTCTTTTTTTTTTTGTTGTTGTATGCGTGACAGGATGTTTTGCGTTATTCTGTCTGCTGGCCCTTAACCTCTGTCCGCCTGCTCCAGTTTGACCTCGCTGGCCATCAAATGTTCCCCGTGCCACTTCTTCATGTGTTTCTCCAGCGTGCTGTAGACGCTGAAGGGCATGTGGCATATGTCGCAGCGGTACACCTCCTTGCCGAACTGGCCGTGGGTCTTCATGTGGCGCGTCAGCTTGGAGCTCTGGGCGCAGGCGTAGCTGCACAGGTCGCACTTGTACGGCCGCTCGCCCGTGTGGCTGCGGCGGTGCACCGTCAGGTTGCTGCAGTTCTTGAACACCTTGCCGCAGTACTCGCACGTGTCGTTCCTCCGATCCTTGGAGCTGGGGGGCCGGCCGGGCCCGGGCCCCCGCAGCAGGTGCGGGGTGCTGCTCCCGCTGCGCCCCGAGGCGCTGCCGCCCTCCATCATCTCCCCCGGCGGGGTGGAGAAGCGGAGGCTCCCCGTCTCCGAGGAGGAGTGCTCGGAGGAGGTGGCGAACGGCGACTGGCGGGAGTCGGTGAATCCCAGGAAAGGCTCGCGGATGAAATGGCGGGAAGCAGCATAGCCGGCTAGCAGCTGAGAGTAGACGTTTTCGGGGGAAATGAGCGGAATGTTTGGGGGAATGTCCAGCTGTTCCTTCTCTATCTTGATTCTCTTGTTGTTAGAAGGGCTTGGGCTGGTGATGGGGGTAGGCCGGCGCTGGAACAAACCAGGAAAAGACTCAGCTTCAGATACAATGATCCTGCCATTCATCAGTGGCCTCACATCCCCCTGCTCTTCCCGCTCCCTGCCTGGTTCCCTTTCATTCTCTCTTTCTGCTTCCTCCCTCTCTCCACTGTCTCCATTAGGTTGTCTCTCCAAACTTCGCTTGTTAGGGTTGAGTCTGAGGTGATTGTCCAGGTGGTTGTATGGATGCATGATGCCCACCCCACCACTGTCATTTATTCTGTCCCCGCCCAGGGGCTTCTCGTCTGGGGACTGTCTTGGCCCGTTTTCTCTATTCTGGCTGAATTCCTGTGAGTCTTCACTTAAGTTGGAATCTGGTCGACTTCCATTCCTCAGCTCTTCCTCCTCCTCTTCTTCCTCCTCTTCCTCTTCCTCCTCTTCTTCATCCTCCTCCTCATTATCCAACCCCATGCCTCTAACATCTCCCTCCCTATTTTTGTCTTCACCCTCTCCCCCCTCGCCTCTACTTCCCTGCTCTGGAGAGCCACTCATGGCGCCAGACTTGTTGTGCATATGTGTCTTCATGTGCCTTTTGAGCTTGCTGGCCTGCGAGCAGGCGTGATCACACAGATGACATTTGTACGGCCTCTCACCTGTGTGACTGCGTCTGTGGACAATTAGGTTGCTCTGGAACTTGAAGATCTTGCCACAGAACTCGCAAGATTTGGCCTTGCCCGGGGCCTGATTCTGACTCTGTGTGTCTGGGGGGCTGGAGGAGCCGTGCCCCCCCTGAGAGGCGGGAGGCTGAGGGGCGTAGGTGAGAAAGGCCGGGGGCTTGGCGCCCGGCTGGAAAAGCGTGGGGCTCAGCAGACGGTGCATGGGCGGCACGCGGTTGGGGGACAGAGGAGGCGTGGGCCCGCCATTGTTGGTGGTGTTGCCCGCGAGCTCCCTCAGCCGACGCGAGAAGTCCATGGACGGAGGCTCCATGGGGGTCATTCTCATCACCCTCTCAAAGGCACTGGGATGCTGCGAGAGCAGCCCCATTTCCTCTGGGACCAGCCGCTCCAGGGGCGGTCGGGGGGGAGGCGGAGGGCTGACAAAGGGCGGCGTGGCGGGCAGACGGGTCTCCATGTACCCCGGGGGAGGGGGTTCCCTGAGCAAGGGCGCGGCCATGCGAAGGAGGTGGAACGGGTTGTTGGTGTCGCCGAGGAAAGTGGGGAGAGGGGAGCGGGGCAGGGCGTCCGCCCCCGGAGGGGGAGGCAGAGCCATGCGAGGGGTGAGGGAGCAGTTGGCCGGGTGGTTGTCAAGGTAGATGCGGATGCCGTGAGTGTGCTGGGCGTGCTGAAGCAGGAACCAGGCACTGGTGAAGGTCTGCTTACAGGTAGTACAGATGTAGCTGGACGGCTCGTCTTTATCTGCGGGTCAAGACAAGAGAGAAAACCGTTGTGAAGGCAGAATTCAAAGACAATAAGAAAAAAGGGGGGAAAAAAAACATCTTCAACAAATCTTTGCATTCGAAATGCGTTTGCGTGGGAGCATTATGTTTTGCCAAACGCACGGTATTTAAATACGGAAATTGAATTAGCTTTCTGTTTGGGCGTCTGTGTGTTATGAGACTTCATAAAACTGTACGTTTCTAGAGGCTAATATAGGTGGCAGGTATTGCCCTGAGGCCACGACACATTATGCAAATTCTAATGTCTGCAAGGCTTTAATATACAGATCCATCTTGTCTACCCTGTCATTTCCATTTGGAGACAGGGGAGCGAGCACTGAGTGAAAAATAGGGAAAATGTTGAGGTGGGGGTGGGAGTCAGAAAGCGGGAGTGAGACGCTGCACCGGAGACAAAGAAACTCTCAAAAGCAGACTTGAATGAAACAAGAATAAAACAGTATCCTCATTACATCGGGCTCTGAGTAGAGTAAAGTGCAATGCCTTGTGGCCCCACGGTCATAAACACGGGGAACTGTGAGCCACTCGCTGACAAATGACCCCTTTAAATGGTTTGACTTAATATTGCCAAATGAACCTATCACTCACTGCGCTGTGGTCCTGTCAGCCCTCTTGTGACTTTCCAAAAAAAAAGAAAAAGGAAAAAAAAGGGGGCCTTGCTAGATTCACCTAATTCAACACAGGCTTGCCCTGAAGAGCCTTTTCTACAGCCTTGTGTTTGCTCGTAAGCCATCTGCATCTACTTTATTACGAGCGACTACCGCAAGTGGAGTCCAGTTGGTTCGGTGCTCCTAAAGCTTGGAACCCAGAGGGCCAACACATAGATGGATAGTTAGGCTTACCCAAAGTTTTATATGATCAAGCAAATAGTCCTTAAGATGTCTGACTGCCTCAAAGTCACCCTTTGATATGGAATGAAAAACACACACGCAGACCCTGATACAAGCCCAGGAGTACATCTCTCCCCGACTGGACACATCCTCACACACACACACACACACACACACACACACACACACACACAAATACTCGTACTGGGTAGAACAGATGAGCGATAGCTGATGTTGGATCAGAGTCTAGTACAGGAAGCTGATTTGGCGGTGTGATTGGTTTGGCTTTCCTCAGGGGAGAAAGGGTCAGAAAAAGTTAATGAGGGGCTCATTTACTGATTCTGTCGGTTTTTCCCCGCTATTAGCCGTGCTCTGGCGTAGCTGTCACTCTGACTATTTGTGTGGGATGGGACGCGACCCGACCCAGGCGCCTGACGCATGTGAGGGGAGGGACGCGCGAACGTGTCGGTGGATGTATTTCTCCTGCTTTTTTTCTCCCCCCCCCGTGCATGTGCGTGCGTGCCGGGGTGTATGTGTGGGGCGAGTGGCGGGCTGCCTGCCCGTGTTTAGTTTGGCTGAGCTTCACACGGCCGCTTGGCAGAGGAGAGCTGGACAGCTTAACAGCTTCGACGGGGGAGAAGGGAGCCAGAGAGGGGAGGAAAGAGGAGGAGGGGGGAGGAGAGGGGTAAGGAGAGAGGTGGAGGGACTTTAAGGGCCAGACGTGCTCAGGCACACACACACACACACACACACAGAGGCTATTTACATCCCCCTTAGGGACCAAGGTAGATCTATAGATTTGGGAGCTGTATAATCTCAGAAGAATCGATACTAAATGAAGATGTGAGACTGGGAGAGGGATTGATGAACTAACTTGACTTATTTTTTCTCTCCATTATATACGCTTAAGGTACCATCAGTACAATAAACCCAATAAAATGGGATGCTGACAACACACACACACACACACGCAAACACACCCCACTACAGCGACACATTTGCATCTTGTGATATCTTACACGGGCATGCCATATGCTGTTAAAGGAAGCGTGGCAGCTAATAGAGTGGCAGCTGATGGCTGCTGCCTAATGACGGCCAAAGACAAATTTCATCAACTTCCCAAACAAGAAAGCCAGCAAGAGGGGGGGAGGGGAAGATATCAAGGGAGAAGAAGAAGAAGTAGCATATGAAGAAGGAGCAGAAGATCCCCATATAGCTAGCTAAGTCCTCTGTTTTTTTTTCTTCCTCCATACAGACTTGCGCTCACGCTGAGAGGGTGTCACTGCTCCGCGCTCCGGCCAATAAAAGCCTTCATTAAAGAATCACGGTGGGCCATGTCATGCTTCAGTTTGTGGTAATTACAGCCGTCTGCACCGACACACAAGCGGGGACCCTTCCTCCGCTGACCGCCAAGGTCAACTACCAGTTAGAACAGTTACATTCTCTTCACCGCGCAGACACTGACGCTGGACCTAATGGCCCAATTTACTCCGCCACACCATATGCACACAGACACACATAATCCTGCACGTGTGCGAACGAGGCTGAGCTGTGGGGTTAAATGAAATGGAGTCGCAGCAGGATTCAGTAATACGGTACACTGCATTTTGGTTGGCTTTTTTTTTTGTCATTTTGCCAGCTATTTGTAAGCGTTTTAGCGTAATGGAATTCACCTAAAAGGGTCCATCAGTTATTTTTCTGCCCAGGTGTTCGCCCTGGTAAATTTTCCCATGAAACGGAGGAACACGGTACAGATCTGAGACCAGCTCAGGAGGGCAGCTCTTTGTCCTGCCTGTGCAACGAAAGGAGGGCGAAGGGCCAGGAGGCCTTGAGGAAGTTATTAAATCATTGGCACATGCACGGAGCTGAGGTGGGCTAGTAATAATGCTCTGCCTCTCTCCTGCGTTGTTTTTTTTTTTTTTTTTTTACTTAACCACCGGGCCAATTAACCCAGTCTTCAGGGACTGAGATCTGAGCTTTACATCAGATTTTATTCTTTCCAGATTGCCTTTTATAGCCATTATTTTGCCTTAAAAAGTACAAACAAAATGCCAGTGAATGATGGGGAGCCATGGTATTGACTGTTTGCATATGGCCAGCTTAGCAAAAGTGGTGTGAGGCTGTTCGGGCTGATGCAGACACACCAAGCATATGCTGTAGACATGTGGATTTGTGTTTAATTCAGGAATTCACATATGCCATCCTCTCACCAATCCGGCCCGCGTCTGATTTGTATGTAAAACCCTGCGGTCCCTCCATTTGCATGACGCTTAGCTTCCATTTTGGTGGCTTCAACAGAGGATGGTCGAATTCAGAGGCATAAGATCACAGAAGAAGAACGCAGCTCCACCGCCTCAGTCTTCAGCAAAAAAAACGGGTCTTAACACCTGAGAGACCGTGTCAGGCCGTGGGCGACGTGCTGCCAAATGAACTGTCACCAAAACGAAACCTAATTGAAAATAAGTTGAATCCGAATGTGAGCGCACGTCTCTCCGAGCCTGTCGAGCGGCTCCGCGTTGGAGTGGGTAGAATAATGTTGCTTTAATGTAGAAACACAAGAGGCCAGAGCAGGTGTTGGTTGTTAACAAGGAGGTGACTCGGATGTGCCACAGTAGATGTCACACCGGCGTGCGCGTCGGCGTGCACGCAGGCATTCCTGAGGTTCAGGTTCGCCACGCGGCTCCAACATTCCATCAGCGGCGACGGAACGCCACTGCGACAGATTTGCATACAGAACAAAGCCGCCTGCAGGCGAGGCCACTGGGACACAAACCTGCCCCTGCAGCCCCTCCTTCACTGGAAGCGCACGAGCGCGCGCACACGCGTGCACAACGGCGCAAAGGAGGCACAGGCCCTGGGAGGACGTGCATGTGCACCTGTCAGGGGTTAGCTGACACCTCCGCTGCTGGTGAAGCAGCTCCTCATTAGCATGGCTGTGATCTAGGGGTCCCCAGGGGTCCCAGCCTCTTCACCTCACTCTCTGCCCCCCCCCCCCCCCCCCCCCCTCGCACCTCTGCCCCTCTCCTCTCCCATTCGTCCCTCCTGCTCTCCCCACTCCTCCTTCCCCTGCCTTTTTCCTTTTTCCCGGCTCCTCTCCCCTCCGCCCTGATGACTTGTTTGTCACGACGGCGGCAAATCAGGAGGCAGAGGAGATCAACGGTGTGAATCTTTGCGTATGTGCACGTCCCTAGAGGATGGGGGGGGGGGGGGAACGGACCACAGGTTGGCGTGTGCGTCCGCCCCGGGGGGGGGGGGGGGGGGGGGGGAACTCCATCAGGCAGCGTCTGACTGTCACATGAAGGAGGGAGATGGAGAGAGAGAGAAGTAAGACGGGAGACTGTGGAGGGTGGCAGTAGCAGGCAGGGGGTAAGGCTCTCATACAGTGTGACTGGCTCCATGCTAACTCAAACCAGCTTTGGCCTGCTAACCATATACATCTGTGAGCCTGAGTGTGTGTGTGTGCCTGTGTGTGTGTGTCTGAAGTCAATTTGACCAGCTGAAATGCCTCAGAGCCTGAGAGATTTAAAGAAACAGCGTTCCTTAAAGAGCTTGTGGCAAGCACTGCATTTTTTTCCCTTCTCCTTTTTAGTGTTTCATTCATTTTTGCTTTTTTTTTTTTATGGTTTGTTTTCCCGTCCCCCATTAGTCTCCTAACACACACTAAGCACCTGTAAAGTGTATATGGGTACTCCACCCTGACCCTCATGCCTCCTGGGATGAGGGTCAAATGAACAATAAAAGGAGATCAGGTATCTCTGACAAGTTGATCGCACGCTCGCTCACACACACTTTGAGTGGGTCCAGCTGCATAACAAAGCCCGAGCAAAAGAGGCCGCCCCGCGGTGTGTCCGAGGGTGCACGTTACCGCCATTAGGCAAGAGCCGGGGCACAGGGGACACGCTGTGAAAAACTAACTGGGGAGACCTCTCTGTGAGAGAAAAGGACTACGACTTTTTGGCTCGGTTTCCAGGACAAAGAGGGGGAAAAAACCGAGAGAATGAGAAGAAAAGGGGAGCTTCAGAGAGTGCATTAGCTAAGCTCTCAGTGGCATTTCTCTAAGCCTGACTCATCGCCAATGAAATCTCGGCACATTGCACCCGTGCACGCATGCCGACGTTTTCAGGGGGGGGGCGCGCGCACTTTGTGAGGTCCACTGTCTGTCGTATGACACTGACAAATGGATGACACTCAAACATGCTTGCGGTTGAAAGAAAATGCAAGAGAGAGGAGCACGTTGAAGAAGCGGATGGGGGTTGGAAACCTCAGAGTAGAAAAAATATATTTAAAAAAAAAACAGAGCAGCAGCCGGTGTAGAAATACAGGTAGAATTGTTCGTTTGATCTTTTTTTCTGAATTTCCATTTGAGGCAGAATTACATCGATCTAATCTCTCGTTCTATCTCTTAACCATTTTACTGTGACACGGGAGCAGGGGGAAGCAGAGAGCATGAATTTAAGGAGGAAAACAAGCACCATCCCTCCGAGGCAAGACCAGGGCTGTGATATGCTGAATGAAAAGAATAATGCACCAATAATTAGGGTGCATGTGTGACAGGAAAAGTGTCCACCGATGCGGCACGTGCAAAGGAAAAAATAGGTGAATGCCTGCAAAAAAAAAAAAAAAAACATGGCACCAAAAGCCAAAAAAAAAAGCTCAGGCTTCTTCGACAGAGAAATGGAGACTGACTATGGAGGCGCATTGTGTTTGTTTAAGGTTTTACATCCAAATGAGCTTCAGCTACACAGGCGCTGAACAGGAAATTGGCTTTGACTTGCGAATAATGTGTGACTTCTGTTTTGTGGCTTTCTCCAATTTATACATGTAGAAGTAATAAATATAGGATATATATGGTGTTTTTGGTGAGGGAAAATATGGTAAACAGCGCAAAGCGTCACATGGCGATGTACGTTTTGTGCCTCTCTCAGTCTGTGACAAACACACATCCTTTTGTGGATGTTTCTAAGGAGGAGGCTTGTGCTCGCACATTTTACCTTCCACAATGGATCTTTTTGTGCCTCTCTTTGTGATTTGGAAACTGTATTTTTTTGTGTGCGTGTTTGCATGCTTAAGATACATACACACTGTGCTAAACGCTCTCCCTCTTTGACAGAGTGTCATATAGTTTCAGCAGTAATAATGGCTTCAAGCTGTTTTTTTGCCCACTGGAGCTCAGTAGCCTGTCCTGCTGAAGCCCACATAAAGATTAAACTGCTGCCCCAAATGGCCATCAAGCCGTCCTATCTCATTCAACTCCTTCCTATTATGGAGGTGTGACATCTATTCCGGCGAATGTGAGATAGCAATCCTGATCTCATTCATTATTGTGCCTCACTTTTTCTTCGCTTAAGTGTATGGCAGGAGACCTTGTCCTTTTCTTAACATTTAGACACAAAGAAAAATGCCAGCACAGAGTACACAGAGATTATTGAATCAAACAAGACTCATTTTTCAGGTAGTCTTATTACTGTTAACTGAAGAGAAGAAGAACCAAAAAAACAAAAAAAAAGGGTGAAAATAAAGAAAATGTGAACATCAGGCTTTCAGTTTTCAGTGTTCAGTTTGTCGCCCGATGTGTATACGGTCAGGGCGAACAGAACACAGATCAGGGGAAACAGTTAGCGTGGCGAATCTTTTCTATTCGTCGACAAAGTAATGCAGCTCTTTTTCGATACCGGCACCCCACAAACACCAGCGAACATCTGCCTTTTGAGTGCAACGGGATATTGTTTGAAAAATTTGTCTCTTTATCTAGTCACCCTGCAGAACGAGTTTTTTTTTTTAGAAGCTTCCTCTCAGCATGGTATCGACAGGAGCAGCTTACGACTCGCTCCTTTGCATGAACACACGTATACTGACCTGTGCTTCCAACACAGAGGCTCAGAAACTGAGGGGAGCTAATCACAAATGAAATAATGGAGGTGAAAATATCCTGGAAAACTGTGTTGCAGCTCTCACAGCTTAAATGATACACTCATAATTGCCGGTGATATGGAATTATTCCATCGCCTTGTTTTGAGGGGTGTTACAATGTTTAAATGTGCCATTTTATTTGTGTCACAACGGTATTACAGAGCTGAACTCATTCTGTTTTCGTGCTTTTTGTCATCCAACAAACCCAAGAAATGTCTTTAAACTTATAGGGGGCTTACGTAACAAACTATTCCTCCTGAACCCTAAACGTGTATATTTAGTTCCTAAAACTAAACATCTGAACTTAACCAAGTGGTTTAGTAACTTAATACCAAACACAAAAAAAGCAAACCTAAAGACAAAATGATCTAGTTAAACAAATTAGATAAAATGCTAAATCAGAATTTTTTTGACAACACTGACGATCATTTTTTTAATATCTATCCCTAAATTCCCCTAAATATTAAAATAATGTTTTCCAGTGAAGTCATAAAACCTGGTTGTAATATAAAACAACCAGGGGCTGACTGAACCTTCATATTCATCTGAAAAATATCACACGGATATTAATGTTGTCTCATCAGTCTAGACCCCAAAAAAAAGGAACAATTTGTTTAAGAAAAAAAATGTGGCTTAAATGTGTGTCCTTTACAGCTAGCACACTGCAACCATGTGCTGAAATCACCCCAAAGATTAAACTCTTCTCCGACAGGACAAAAGAAATGGTAATCAATTTTGGCTCTAATGTGAAATAACGTGGCTTTCTGCTTCTTCTTTTTTCTCCTTGTGCGCGCGCGTGTGTGTGTGTTTTTCCCCCCACTCGTGTATCACTCGTGTTTATGAGGTCTTGTTGTGATCCAGTGAGCGCCAGCAGCACAACATTATTAACGTTGCAACGGTCATGTCTCCAGGGGAATTCTGTTCTCTCTCCTATGTGTCCTGAAACATACCCGGGTGTGTCAAACGGTCTGTTGTCTTGCCTCGAACACATAGCCTTAAATTCCGCTGTATACACACACACCGTACACACACACAAATGCAGGCTTGAACACAGATTCACCTCTTAGCACATATTTATTAAGTGACACGATGGGGCTGAATTTGGCCTCAGGCCTCCCCTGTGGACTCTCCCTCAGTCTCCTGCTATTGCCCTCTTTCTTTCATTCGTTCTATCTTTCTTTCTCTCTTTCGTTCTTTTCTTTCTTTCGTTCTTTCTCTCTTTCTTCTTTTCTTTCTTGCTTTCTTTCTTTCTCACTCTTCCTTCTTTACTCTCTGTCTCTGGCTGTTATCACGCTGATACATTTCCTGCTCCTGGCACGGCTCCTGCATAGCTTATGGTTAAAGCAAGCTTTCATCTATCCACTGCCTCTAGGACACACACACACACACACACACACACGTATAAACACACTCACACACATATGCAGGCGCTGGTATGGGCCAACGCTGCCCCGCCAGACCACAGGCCCAGACAAGCTCCGCTGGCACCAATCACCCTGATAACATCTTAGGCTTTATTTCATTTTGGCGTGCTCTACTCTGCTATGGGAAAGCCCGGCAAAGAGAAGAGGGCTTTTTGGAAAAAGTATGAAATATGCCATACAGACATACAGGGAGGTGTAACCCCTTAACCTTGAACAGTTAAGTCCCATTTGGGTTATGCCTTGTATGGACATGACAGTGCAAGCCCCCTTTCATCCAAGAGGAAAACTAGAGCTAGAGTGTTGGTCCGATTCTTAGTTCTATTTATTAGGGGGGGGGGGAATGGAAAGTAAAGCTAATGCAAATGAAGGTGGCCTCAACACATTCTAAAAAGGTTTTCTAAAAGCATTGAAAACATCTTTTTTAAAACATATTCTTTTAATATATTTTTTTACTTAGTCTTAATGAACTTAGTCTTAATTTCATCTCTCTTTCTTCGGGTTATATGTGAAAAATGTAAAGGTTCCATCAGCAGATACTTTTAAAAAAAGCACCAAAGTAAACTAATGCATATCCAGTAGAGTGTTTTTCACAGTTTGAGTTAGATCAAAAGTGAAAGTAGTGACCTTTCTGGCCAAACCTACTACTTTCTATTCATTTTTTCTCCTAAATGCCACTTTTCCTGCTTACAGTAAATCACAAGCGGGAAACTAAACAAGTTCACATCCTAAACATGTTCTTTGTAAATCTAGCTCTCGTATTTAAGTGACGAAGCAACGTAAATACTCAGACTGTGTTTGTCATGTGTTTATCTGTGCCGGGTTCTCTCCCGGTGAAACTGCTCAAGACAAATAAGCGAGCGAAACAGAGGGGCAATCTTGTGGCGAAGCAGGCTGTAAAGGGGAAAAATGTGTTGTCTCCTCGACTCTTTGTCCAACAGTCCTGCCAAAATCAGAGCAGGGCACTAATAAGACAAGAGGAAAAGAACAACAACAGTCTGACTGCTAAACAAGCGTCCCCTCTTCTACTGTTCGACCCAAACTAATAGTAGCACCCTCATTCTTAAGGGCAAACACGTGGCTGCTACTCAGTGAGGGGTGAAATAGGTGTCCTGGACAGAAAAAAACTTCTCATTTTTGATCATTTGAAGACTGGTTGAGAGATCTGAGGAGATCGAGCTTTGAGAGTGTGAAAAGTAGTGTGGTTGAATAGGCTTACTTATTGCAACAATGGGATTGTGCAAAGCTATATATATATATATATGTATACACACAGGTATACATAAGCTTCTAGTATTCTTCTTAAGAAAAGGAAATCACAATATTATTCAGCCTGTTTGTTATCAAACGTCTCCCCCCCCCCAAGACGTGAAGCAAACGGGCAACTCATGTACCATAAATACATTGCGGCCGTCAAAATAACCTCCATTATAGCTATTTCCACAAAGAACATAAACACGTTCACAGATTCGTGCTCTTCGGCGGCGGAACCATGGAGTTCCCATCGGTACTTCATTCAAAGCCCCCGCGCAAACAACCGTGCTTGTGCTGAATCCCGACGCGCCGTCATCGCTCCCCCCCCCCCCCGTGCGCGTAGCGGCGACAGGGGGTGTGAGGCTTCTCCAGCCTCTTCAGCGAGGCTGTTAAGGAGCAAAGAGTCCACACATCTGGAAGACACAGTTAGTCAGCACATGCTGAAAGTTAGCGGTGGCGCTCGCAGTCCAAATTAGTGGCGAGTTTTATTCCCCCGCTGTGGTAGGAAAATATCAAATCTGCTGCCATATGAGTGCCATAAAGCTGGCTGTGGAGTGTTTGAAGCCTTCATGTGGGAGCCTTGAAGCTGTGTGCGTGCGTGCACGCGCGCGAGTGTGTGTGTTCGGCGGGCGACGCGGGCCTTAATGGGAGATGAGAGTCATTGTATGCATTCTTGCATGCACATGTGTTCTCTGCGTGTGCGGCTGTTATGGACGCCAGTGTGTGCGAAGGCCCCGACGTCCGTTCGGCGGTTGTGTGTACGTGTGAGCGCGTACGGGCAGCTGGGCCATTTTAGAAGCTCCCTTATAGGCCTACTTGACCCTGCTGCATAGAGCAGACAGACAGACACAGGCAGAGTCAGACAGCCCCCGGGGTGGTCCTGTCTGAGGCACGGCGTTATGGGCCAACAACTCTAGGGGCCCATACACGGGCAGGAACACGTATCCTGTAATTCTGTACCTACACATGCACATAGCCCCACGTGCATATGTGTGTGTGAGAGTAAAAAATGCCTATATGGAGGTATAGAGATGGCAAATAAACAGCAACAATAACAAAATAATAATAATAATAATAATGATGATTATGTTCAAATTAGTTTTAAAAAAACACTTCTGAGTATAATTCTAATTTTCTTTTTCTTTTTTCAAACATGTCACTTCGAAAATTCGAGGAAGCAAACCAAAAAAAAATGCTGCTTTCAGTTTCATTAAACTGGTGGCAAACATTACACAAACACGAGGCAACTCAGATGCAATTGGAAACTTATTTAATTATTCATCGCACATTCAACCTGCAACTGCCTATAAGTGGGTGTGCAGACGCAATTTGAATGCAGTGTAGTGGAAAACCATGTACAATTAGGTATGTATTAACTAAAAGAAAAAAATAAGTGCGCAAATTGGGAATAATTGTTTGTGTATGCATAAGATGTGCTTTTCCGTTTACTGCTTTTTAAGTAACGAGATCAAACATCTTAAAAATCTAAGTCAGATGGGCTTCTGTATTCAGTAACACAAACCTTAAACATGTGTCTTTTTTTCGTTTTATTATAAAGGAAAACTGTATATTTAAAATGGGGAAGGGGGGGTTGTGTCTGACATTTCTTTCCCACAGAGAAAAAAGGGGGAAATGTGCCACTCACAGGAACTGCTGAAAAACACACGACTGTAAAAAAGCCGAAATTACAAAATGAAAATAGACACACATGCCTACCAGCAGACATGGGATAAATTCCCTGGCAGGCATTCAAAACACTAATGCAGGAACCCATAAACACACACAGGCTGCTCCAGAAGACACACTACCTACACAGCTCCCACCATGTGACCCCTAATCACAACCCCAGAGCTTGGACATCAAATGAAGCAAGTTTGAAAAAAAAAAAAATCATCAGGAGTAATTAACGCATTTTCATATGCAAATGTGATTAATGCAAAACTACAAAGTCATTATGCAAATTGACTTTTCCTTGAGCCCCTGTACAAATATTCGCAGCTCAAATCAGGGATCAGTCTCGCCATCTTTTCTTTTTTTATCTCCTACCCTTCTCCCTTTCCCTCTATCTCTCACTCTCTCGCAGTGGAGATAAAATGTAAGTAGCATGTGAAGTTATTTCTAACTCACGCAGTGTGTGTGTTTTCATGCGATGGGCCGGGGCTATGGCATTACGCCGCCTGCCTACTGATTACTGGCTGCTTGGCACTGGAGCGAGACAGGGAAGCTGGAGAACAGGGGAAGGTATGAATATGCAAAAGCCTGATTGCTTTTCATGATTAAAGCCTATTTAATATGGAAATGAGAGCAAGCCAGGTGATTAAAGGAGCATTGGGTGGTGGGGCAAAAAAAAAAAAAAAAAGGGGGGGGGTGGGGAGGGAAAAAGGAGGAGGGAAAGGAACGGGACCTCTTCAAATCAACAACGGTGGAGAAGTGTGAAGACTGGAAAGTCACTTTCTTTTCCACAGCAGAATGTAACAAGTGAGACGCTGCAGATTTGGCCTCTTTTAGCACAAAGGGAGCTACCCCCCCACCCCCCAACCCCCCACCCCTTTAAAACGCTTTTGTTTGTTTTTTATACACTACAGATTTACATCAAGGGACTACGGTGATCCATTTAAAGTCTAAAAAATAGCCCTAACTGCCCATTAACTTAAAAAAAAGAAGAAACGATTACAGATGTTATCTCAGTAAAAAAAAAAGAACAAAAAAAAAGTTTGCACCCGCAGCCATTTCCTATTGCACGGGTTTGACGGTTCTAAAGTGGTGTTTATCTCATCTAAATCCCTTGATCAGAAATCAAGTGCCACTACAATTGTGCACCCTGTATCTCGATCATATTGAGCTGCTGAACAGGCTCTTTCCCCCCCAAAAAAAAAACAATAAACTGCACACGGAATGAGACGGAAACAGGAAGAGGGAAGGCTTGTCGGGCTGTGACTTCACCTCACGGTTTTCAGTCCTCCCGAGGAGAATCGGCATTGGTTCAGGGAGGGGGTTCTGAGCGGGACCCGGGTCGTCTCAGAATAGCAACAACCACCTCTCACTCGCGTGACGCGTCACTCTTCACAGACACTTCAGACACACGCACAAAAATACAGTTTCATCTGAAGCGCACAAATAGACTCTCATACGTGCACACGTGTAGTGCACACATCAGCAGGACGACCCCGGGAGAGAAAAACGGGGCAGAGGAGGGTTATTTTTCATCTACTGTTCAAAAAGGGAGCACGCGTGTGCTCAGATGCATGCGTGTGCATGTGTGTGTGTGTGTGTGTGTGTGTACGTGAGTGTGTGTGTGTGAGTGTGTTTGCACCTTTTGGGGTTGAATTTGCTGGCCTTGCAGCATGTTTGCAGTTTAAGCAAGCACGCTGACAGACAAAGAGGCCAGACAGGATGTTATAAAACATAGCCAGGTGAAAAAAAAAAAAGAAAAAGAAAATGCAGGGGACGGGTTAAGCATATGTTATGCATACGAGCACGAGGAGTTCTTTTTTTTTTGTGCATTATTAGCGCACACGCACATGGGGATTTGTGTTGTGCTGGCTCGGGGCGCGCTCTTACCTAGTCTGCAACCATCAGCGAGGCTCAGAACGTGGAAATACCACATGAGGGCAAACTGTAATATTTCCTTTCAGTACGTGAGTGCGTGTGTGATGTGCTATTGAGCATGCCTGCGAGTGTGAGTGCCTTTAACACTTTGGACTTAATTAGTGCTAATAATGTAATCTAATTTGGTTGAAACTTGAGACTGCCTTGAGTGGCAATCTAATGTGTTGAGCAAAGCTCTCCTCCCCTCTTTCATTTGGGGCTTTGAGTGCTTTCATGTCCTGTTCTCTTAGTGATAAGACTGTCTGTCTGTCTAACTAACTGACTGCTGCTCTCGCAGGCTTACTCACTCACTTACCCTGCCTGAATGTTTTCCCTCTGACCAGTCAAACAGACTAAGTGCAATGCACCGAGCCTGTTTTTTTTTTCTGTTTTTTTTCTTCCGACAATTTTTATCATTGCTGCTGCCAGGGCTGTTTAAAGCTTTCTAAAATTCCCAAGTCTAACAAAAAAACAAAAGAACTAATAAAAGCCACATTATAAATGATGAATGGTCAGTTATTTATTTTATTGCCATTGTATTTCCTGCTGAGAGAAAGCTTGAATAAGACTCTCGCGTGTCACTTGTATTTCTCTCAAATCGACAGTGACATCCCAAAACCGGGCCGCCACATATTGTTTCTGATCTCACTTTACTGATATTTCCCGCAGTGATAGATGACGGCCACACACAGCTGCCGGCCACACACACAGGCACAGAGAGACGTCTTCACATGGCTTTAAATCCAAAGAGAACCAAATGTTCAATTCCGAACTCTCAGAGACCTTTCAGACAACATCTCACACACCAGCATGGCCTCCTGAAACCCAGAGACCAAATGCTAAACAACAGAGCCTTGGGAGTACAGGAGTTTGAGCGAGTGTTGTTTTGAAAGTATGAGTAAGTTTGTTGAAACTGCAGCATTTAAAAGCGATACCGTGCCCTTCTGATCTCAAAAGTTTTCTTTTTTTATGCTTTAGATATGCCGACTTCTTTCGATTTAGGGCAGAACTACTTTCTTTGGGAAAAAAATCTTGTTTTGTTTTTTTCTAGAAATAAAAAAATTGCTCAAAGGCATACTACAAAAAAAGTTTAAAACATTTTGTGGATGGCTTTATTGTACATGGTAATTCAAAGTGAAACCAAGCAACATGTGGCGGCCGAACTAAGCCGTCCATCAGGGTCATCGCCTGCTGTCTTTTGTAGAGTTTTGGCTTTGTGGATTTTAACCACTCTAATGGGATAGAAGAAAAGCGGTGAGGCCGAGCAGCCGCAGCCCTGTCGCCGTCACGTCTGTATAACTCCACACTTTTACGTGTAAAACCCGTTTTTTTATTTTGAAAAATCGCCTGTGAGTGCAGTGAAGTATCACATGACAGCGAAGCAGCAATTTAACTATCATCACAACTCTGATATGGCCATCAAAAACGTCAATCTGCCACAATTCCATGTTAGTCTGCCAGCCTGATGGCTGTGTTTTAGCGGGGGAAACGAGCACATAAGTCTCCCCTTTAAAGATTAGATCTGACCACGACATGACAGCGGAACAGAGCGGTGACCGGTTTCTGTGCTAACTGCATAATCTTGCATTTGCTTTTGAATGGGAACTTTTTTTTGAGGACGCAGACATCTTCCCTCCTCTCGCTGAGCCCTCCCCCGTGTAATCCTGGACAGCCTCCCTAGTTCTTGGGGGCGATGGGGACTGTCTCCTCTGATAACTTTGAATTGGTTACCCTGCAGCGCTGACAGTCTTCAGGCCTTGCTCCCTCCCTCCCCTTTCCCCTCCCCCCCCCCCCCCCCCTCCCCCTCCCCTTTCCCTCATAGCCAGATGAGCGGCCTTGCCACTTTATTAATCCCCTTCTCCTCACCACGCACACGGATGAATTTTAATCAGCTTTCTTAACCTCGTCAAATGCTGCAGGATTTCTTTACAAAGGCCACGTGATGTGCACTAATGCAAGCTACTAAGAAAAAAGAAGGGAAAAAAAGGGGGGGGAGAAAACACAAACACACACACACACACACACATTCGGAGGGCCGGTTCCACTATCACCTTTTTCCTCGCTTTTTGGCGATTGGTCTCAGCTAAAGAAGTCCTTCGGGGGCCTTGCGAGTGTGTGACTGGAGCGCACGTGTGCGTGTGACGGTTCACTCAGAACGGGGCAGAACAGGCAAGCTCTCAGTCATTCTAATAAAACCATCTCAGACTACATTAATCCCTCCTGAAGGCCGCTGTCAAAATAACAAACAGCTGGGATTCTTTAAAGAGAGCTATCTGTGTCGGACAGGTGAGGGATGTGTCAAAGCCTTTGCGTGGATGCTCGCGTCTGTGCGTGTACGAGTGTGAATCAGGGCTTCGGTATAGACAACAGTGGGTTTGGGAGCACAACACATAGGGGCTTTAGCCGTACCTCCTCGCTCCTGCTTGGGGCAGATCCCCTTGGCCGGCGTCAGCCTCCTCTCCTCATCCTCCTCTCTTCCGGGGGTCACCTGGATGCCCACCTCCACCGGGATGGAGCCTCTCCCCAGCTCCAGCGACCTGATCCTGGGCGAGATGGGGATGCCCATGACGCCGCCGGCCTCCCCGGGCTTGGAGAAGGAGCCCGGCCCGCCGCCGGGGCCTCGGCACAGGCGGCGCTTGTGCTCGATGAAAACCAGGATGTCGCCCAGAGGGAAGTTGGTCTGGCACTGGCCGCAGGTCAAAAGGTCATGCTCTCCGGGTCCCGCCCTCCGCGGACTGGGGGTGGACGACTCTGGAGACGGAGATCCTGCCCCTGAGTCATGATTGACTTCTGCTGCCGAGGTAGGAGGAGGAGGAAGAGGAGGAGGAGAAAAAAACAGGTGTTAATGAGGGGAGGCTTTAAAAAGGAAAACAAGAACAGATAAGACACACAGGGCACAGAGAGAGAAAAAAAACAGCAAGGTTAAGTTCTTCCTCAGTCCATTACCTAATAAAAGCCGTCCGGCCCTACCCCACAGGGTGATCATTAGGTTCAGAGAGTGTGTGTCCCTTTTGTGGCGTGAAACAGTGCTGCTGTAAAGCTGCATTGCCTCCACAAACACCTGCATAGCTTATCCGTGAGAGATCTGCGTGGGTGGGACCCAACACTTACATTACATGTTTGTGTGTGTGTGTGTGTGTGTGTGTGTGTGTGTGTGTGTGTGTGTGTGTGTGTGTGCGTGTCCTCGTGTGTGTCTGCCTGTGCGTTTGTGTTTGTGCGGCCAGGAAGCTATTCGTCTCACAGTGCAGCCTGGGTTTCCGGTGAGGGGCCTTTGCCGCACTGAGCTGTCACAGCTAGACGGCTGCCTTCACCACGTGGGAGCGCCAGCTTGTGCAGAACAAAGTGTAGCGTAACGGAGGCCACATCCACCGGCATCTGTGTGCGTGCGCGTGTGTGTGTGTGTGTGTGTGTGTGCGCGCGTGCGCCTGTGTTCGTGTTTGCGTAGAAAAAAAAGACAGACCGAGGGGAAAACAGTATGTGTGCATGAATGGATCAGGTGAGTTTGAAGAGCGTATTCTCAAAAGACAGAAAATCTATAAAGCCAAACCCGGGGTTGTTGGGAGAGTAAATCTCATTCTTCACAGATCCGACATGGTCATTAATAACCATTACACACTCTTCCCTCCTTCCTCCCCTATGGCAAAGACTCTGTCCCTCAGCTTAACATAAATCCCTCATGGATGACCTCCTTTTTTTAAACAGTACCCTGATGTACCAGTATGAAAATGCGGCCTCCTCTTAAGAGCCCAGAGGAAACCTGAAGCTCCAGAGACTCGGAGGGACGTCTGAGCGAGCGGGTGCCCAGGGAGAGGTGTTGATGCCTGTGAGAGAAGCATACCAGCGCATGCCTGTCTTTACCGCCTCTCCACTTTCAGCGCCGGCTCAACACCCCCACACACACACACACTCACACACACACACACACACACCCACCCTCATCCCCTCCTGCTTTCCTCTGCTGTCTCTCTGCCTCCAAACATGACACCCTAATAATTGCGAAGATTAGACAAAAGAGGCTGCGCGCTCATTTGTGTGTATTTGTGCAGTTATCAGAGCAGGGATCCTAAACTCTCTTATCATCCATCTCGAGTCATCAGGGAGGACGAGCTTCTCTAAACTCCCAGCTGCAACTGCTCTGGCTGTCGTCTCCGTCTTTTCTTTTTAACCCAGTTTTACCTTTTCAAATATTTCTATGCAGCTATAAATCGCCATAAATCCTAATCAACCATCCACCCACACAAGGCTGTCACCGACACACACAAGTTAGAGTCCCTCTCCATTCGCCCTGGAGTGATGTTCCGATGCCAAATATCTTTTCTCTAAACGGCAATGGGCTCGTGGACGCCTGCCAAAAAATTTCCATCTTTTAATCTGTGGCAGCAAAGAAGGAGCACAAATGCATATTTACCTACAGTTCACAGCTTGTGACCATAATTCACGTAAAGAAATGCTCCAGAGTGCTCCAATAAACCCAAGAAACCGCACATGAGATGTGTGTGTGTGTGAGTGTGTGTGTGTGCTATGCATGTAAGTAGGACCGCAGCTTACAGGATATCTTTCCACTCCCGTTTCTGACTTTGAAAAACAAGACAGGTGGCATGAGAAAAAAAAAAAAAAAGACAACCTCAAGTCGATGAGCTGACAGACACCTGGGAACTTGAACTTTGCTGTCTCTGTTTGACTGAGAGACAAATAGAAAAAGGCCTGTTTGTTAACCTATGGTTGAGTAAGACGGCCTGGGGGCAGAAGGCAGTAAATTAGCAGGAGTTGGCACGGTGACTCGCGCTCTGGAAAAATAGCAGTCGGACATCTAAAAAAAAACCGCACCCCTCTCTGAAACCCGCTCTCTCATCTATCCCAAGGCTCACCTGTGAAAAAAACATGTGTGCAAGAAGGGACCGACCATGGAATGCTTACAGGGAAAAAAAAGCAAAAAGGCGTTGCTTTTTTTTTTTTTTTCAATCAACCTTGGACACAAACATTCGGGAAAAGAAATCAAACAGACAAAAGAATAAAGGATAACGCGCTAATGTAGCCTGTGATGGTGACAGACAGCATCTAATTCCTCCTGTATAAACTAGCTATGTGAGAGGAGCATGCTTTATAGGTAAAGGAGCCTGGCTGACGCACTGTCAAACACGCCATGGGCCGGGAAGGCGTGATGATGGCGCTGAAACCCAGCTGGCTGACGCGATACCACACATAGTTTTACTCCTTTTTTCTTTCACACGCAGTGCTACATTCACCCAAACGACAGTCCTGCTACTCCGCTTTATCAAATGGGAGCAAAGTCAGGCAGCCTTAGAGCACCCCCTATCAGTTTGAGGAGGAGAGAGTCAGTCAGTCACTCTGCTGCTGCACAATGTGTACCAGATGGGCAACGCAGCTCAAGACAATGGGCCTCTTTCACTGAAATTTCTATTTATATATATATATATATTTTTTTTTTTTTTAAAAGGTAAGGAAAAAGACACAAGGGGGAGAAAGCATTCAATAAATAAATAGTGCTCTAAGAAGCATGGAAGTAATTCATTTGCAGCTTTGATACTGCTTAAGTGCAGAGATTCAAAATTCTCCTCGTGCACTTTGGTTACTAAACTGTATGCTATGCTGCTGGTATTTGATACACCGGGTAAAAACATCTTTTTAAGGGTTTTTTCTCAATAGTGGCCAGGCTCTGGCTTCCAGCAGTGTGTGCTGAGCTTAAATTCTCCAGGAAGAGCCATATATCTAAAAATAATTTTGCCCTTCAAAAGCGGACTTTTTTTTGTGTCTTCTGAGGTTAAAAAAGAATTTTCCCCAAAAAGATGAAAAAAATAAATAAAAATCGTGGAAATTGATTCATTTTTTCTCTGGACGCGCAGACACTTCTTGTTTAATTTCTAAATCCCGCAATGGCTGAAACAGCAGCGTTGGATTGACAGAATAAGACTGTTTTCCATTGACGTCGAAGTCCTGACCTCACACAACGCTTTAAAACCAGCTGCAGCAAGGCCACGGGCACTCGGATGACAGTCGACCATATTCTATGGGTTCAGACCTGTCTCCATTTCTTTCTACCCCCCCCCCCCCCCTCCCTCCCGCCCCTCCTTTCCATTTGCGTAGCTCCAAAAACACATGCACACGCACATTCACTCCCATGAGCGAGTCCTAGTGGGAAAGTCGGGAAAGATTCACGCTGCCATTGAAAATAAATGACACCGGCAACGTTGCAGATGGTTGCAATCAAAAATTCAAACAACAAGCGGCCTCGCTTAGCCTATCCCTTTTTCTCAGCCCCGATTGCCAAACTGAGCTGCAACAGTGTGCGTTGTGTAAGACCAGGCCTGTGTGTTTAATTATCTTATCACCATTTAATCTGTAACAGTCCCATTCCTTATCGTAAATCTTAGATTATCAGCCTGAAAGTGAGCAAAAATACGGCACTGCAGCTGACTGTGACTTGTCACTAAATCGCAGTAAATGACTTGCAACCTATGAGGCATGACATGTGGAGATATAAATCAAATCTGGCAAACTATTTCGGAGATACAATAATAAAAAACGGCACTTTACATCATTGCAAAACTCATTGATTGTGCTCAGCAATACTGAAATGCAGAAAGGAGAATCTGCGAGCACTAAATCAAAAATGGCTTGCCAGTCATCCCCAGTGCGATTATCGTCCGCTCACCGCAACGTATGTGAATATTTACTGTGATGTTGCAGTTGCTGCTCTGCCATTTGACAGCCATGTGGAGTGAATAAAGCAGAAAACACTGACTGTTTCACAAGTAGCATTCCAATTTTGAGAGTAAACAGTTATCGTGAGGCGTTTTCCGCCAGTGGATTCCAGAAAAAAGGGGGTTCTCTGCCACAACCCTGATGCTGCTCTGCAAATATGCCAGCCTCTGCGTGTCACGAGCCCACGGATCCCGGTCCCTCCGCGTTAATTTGTAAATATGTCGCGGGACAAGTCTCCCGTTGTGGTGCCCTGCCGGCTGAATGGCTGAGCCCAGGGAAGCCCACGGGGATGTTCTCCCTTTTTTACGAATGGCGGAAAACAAAGGGACGACTGTGAACCCGGAGGTCAGATTCGGCGCAGTCGAAACAGCTGGTTGGATGAGACGGGGGGGGGGGGTTCGGGGAGGGATGCGCAGAGCTTTCATGCACGTGCTCGTGCGTGGCGAGCGCGGCCCTGTTTCACGCTGAACGCCGAACGCCTGCTTTCTGGATTCTTGTGGTGCATACTTCTGCCCTGAGAGTGCGTTTCTCTGCAGCTGTGCGCTGCTACAGTCGACTTCTGGCCAGACGGGTTGATTTCCAGCCTGTACTCTTCCTGAGAAGCTATGCTGACATTCAGGTTTTGTGCATTTCCAAGTAGAGCGTGACCCGTGGGCCCGTGGCTGCAGGGCTCAGGGCTGCGTTCAGGTCCCCTGCTCTGACACGTATGTGATATACGTGTACGCTGGAAAAACTCCCCCGCCATAACTTAAAGAGACACGTCAAGACCGAGTTTGACAGCTGATCTAAAAATGTTCGACTGCGAGGTGCACGTCACCCACCGACGACTCGCCGTTGAAAATATTCTATCAGCATTTTCAACGCAGCCCTTTCGGCCTTTCGTTTTCCGGCCCCGTGTGAACGTTGAAAAGTTCTCATTATGCATTGCGTTTAGCTTTCCCTGCAGCCTTAGGTGCGATCCCAGCCCCTCTCCAGACCCACCCATCTTAAAGAAACAGCCCACAGCAGCATGCTGCCTCCAGCTGCCGAGCGCTGCATTAAAAACCCTCTATCCGTCACAGCCTCTGCCATGTTACCTTTTCACTGAGATACCCTTGACGTCTGGTTAACATTATGCAAATAGAGGTGCATCTCTGCACACACACTAACACACACACACACAGAGTGTTTTCAGGTCTGTCTTTTTCTTATTTCTTTTTTTTATTCTGCTTTTTGTTCTTTAAAAAAAAATCCCTCCAAAATTCAATGTCCACTTATAGTTTTTTTTTTGGTAATTTTTTAATGGGGGGAAATTTAATCCTATCAGGTCTTGTCCCTCCTTAATGGTGAACCTCTGTGTCTCAGGTCATTGTCAGTGCCTGAGGCCACAGCTTAAGAAGCAGCAGAGTGTTGATCGTGTGAGAGAACAGGTAGGACGAGATTCAACCCCTCCGAGCTGCTCAGCTATTCAGCATCTCCACTTCGCCTTCTCACATGTCCATTTTCAGCAAAAGCTAAAGCTCAGACTCCTTTGTGATGGAGTGGCACATCAGACACTTGCCAGCATTTACAGACACCGAGCTGCAGCAGGTCAGGGATGATTAGAAAGATCTGGGAGAGCAGTCTTTAACAGCTTGAGGCAAGAACGGGGGAATCCTGGGGATATTTGCCTTAATATTTGAATTAAAGCTGATTGTGACGACGGATCGTCAGTGCAGTTTCGGCAGTGTGAGCCCTCAGCATGACATGCTCTGGGTTGGGGAATTTGTTAACCGAACAGCAGGTGCTCTTAGGTTTTTTTATTTGACATCTTCCCACAAAAAGAGCTGTCAAACAGTCAGTCTACGAAAGAGTTAATCCAAATAGTCCAGATTCAGTAAAGGCAAATAATTAGATGTAAAACTCTAGCAGATATTTCATGAAGGGCTATGTTGAACACACACACCTCAGAGATGAAGCTGCTGCTTGACTCTAATGCAAAATGTATATTTAAAAAAAAAGAAAGCTACCTCATCTTCACCTTCATCCACTGACAAAATGAACTGATCAATATTCACACTCAATGCCAACAAAAGATGCTCCCTGTTCTCTATGTTGGCAAATTACAGCATTGTGTATGTTTTTTTCTAAACGACAAGAGCATTTCAGATGGCTCCGTGCGTTTAGATTTACGGCAGAATTATTTCGAAGGTAATTACAAGAGAAAAGTCACAGAAGAGCAGGAAAGACGAGGTGAAGGGAATAAAAATTATAAGTGTAACGGCTTAATGTCTCGGCAAGCTTGGAATGCACCTCACCGTATTCAAAACACAAAATAAAAACACACTGGCCAAAGATTACATCATGAACTTCTGCAATGAATTACGCAGATTAGGCCTCTATGAAATTGGATTTAGGCACCGAGAAGCCCTGAGAGATGAAGGTTAGATTGATATAATTGATTTGAAATTGGATTATGCGACTTTATAATCAAATGCCCCACAAAAAAAAACTCTGCCACAGATTATATCTGCGTAATTTAATCGCAGTTTTTCTTTTCTTTTCTTTTCATTTCTTTTTTCTCCTTTTTTTATTATTAGTTTCAGCAGCAGCTCTGGAGAGCCTCGAACAAGTTGTGATCCCTTTACTTTTGAAAAATAAGGGATGAATAAAAGTTCAGGATTAATTTAATCTTTTGTTTGTGTGAGCGTGAGTGTGTGTGTGTGTGTGTGTGTGTGTGTGTGTGTGTGTGTGTACGTGTGTGCAATAGAGAGATTCTTTCCACTACGTGCACACAGAAAGAGAACAAACAGCATAGTTTCGTTTTAGTCTCATTCCAAAATGTAATGTACCGTAGTAATGGGCCTTTATGTTATAAAATAATGATAACATTAATTAAAAGTGTGTCTGTGTGAGACTTGAATGTCTGACGGAATAAAAAGATTAGATTAGAAAAATTGCACATTTGAGACCAATTAGGCTCTAAACTACCATGTGCAAATTCACTGAAAAAAATCATACAAATATATACATACATATACACATATATGTGTGTATATGTATATTTAAATGACAATAAAATAACCTGTAAATACACACAGTGCAACCAAGAATTGTGTTGTGGTGAAATGCCGGATTACACGCCAAACGCACGTGCGTATTTGCTTGCTAAACACACTCTTACACACACGTTTTTCAAGCCAGACAGCCCCCATCACCAACCTGCCAAAATGTACCCTGTTGTGTGGACTCTTTTTCAAAAGTAAGGTGCAAGAACCTCAAACGAAGTGTCCCGGTTCGGAACAAACGAACCAAGCTGGTGTTTGTGTCGCGTGCGGTTCATTTGGTTATTGTCCATCATCTGAATTCTGCTGCGTATTATGACGACCAAAGTAATAGTCGTCCCCAATTTATCTAGAGTTTTTTTCCCTAAACTATTTGTGCGTAATTTATTTTTTTTAACGGATAATAGTGTTTCAAAGTAAAACCATGTAGGTAAGTGAATAGAAACCATCTCTGTGAATAATTCCACTCACCTGGTACTGTCTCCCGGTGCGTCAACGATAAGTGCTGCGGGTTCACCTGCTTGCGGCGGGACATTGCCCCGGCATTTACTCTGGCATCGCCCGGTGAACGGCACTTGGAGTCGGCTTGGACCGTGGTGTCGGTCGCCTCTGGATCGCGGATGACCAGCTCTCCCCCTTTCCCAAACCTGATCCCCCCCTGCGCCCTCTAACTTGTCAACAGTCTTTAGCTGGAACTTTGAGGCGTGCTTGGCAGCTGAAAGAGTCGGGCACGAGCGCCAACAGACAGGGACGGAAGACCACTTTTTGTGAACGATGTCCTGCGGGGTCTCGGGAGGAAGTAACACCTGGATCGGAGGAAGCCAAAGTGTAGTTTTTAAGAAGCAGGCGGCTACAACTGCCCGTTGAGCTGAGACAGTCTCAGATTAAGTTTTGTTTTTTGTTTTTTTCTAAATGTTGCAATGAGCTTTTTTGGGAGATAAAAAAATCCTGGACTGCCCACCTCTGCAGCGACCCTGGTGACAGATGAAGTAAGCGGCGATGGGTAGTCGCTCCTGTTTAGCTCTTGTTTCCCCCCCTCTTTTTTTCTTAAAGAAAATAATTACAGTATATCTGGGGTTAAACGGCAGCTCGTTACTCTGGGGTGTTCCTACAGTCCTTCCATCTCAGCAGCGGTGCGCTAGAATGACCCTTTGGCACTGACTCCTCCTGCGCGTTTTGGCATCGGTGCGCAGAACGGCGACTCTTGGCTCCAGTGGCAGTAGCCTCGCTGATTGAGAGAGAGAGACGGAGAGAGAGCGACTCCCACATACACAAATACTGAGAAACACGGAGAGAGAGAGAGACCGAGCGAGCAGACCAGACACCTCCTCCTTTTCTTTCAGCGAGCCGACGTCCAATGCTTCCCAGTTTACTCCAGTGTTGAGGCTACTTCTTGTCGACGCACGCGACGGAAGATGCTCCGTTCGAGATCGAGGCGCGCGTGTGTGTGTGCGTGCGTGCGCAAGCAGCCTATAGGAAGCCCGCGTGCGAGCTTGGACTTGCCTCTGTGATGGGAGAGAAAAAAAGGGGGGGGATTCGAATCCAAGCGCATTGGTGCCGCCGGCGCGTCAGACGGAGGGGCGCGGAGGGCAGCCAACGGGGGTCCGGGGGCCACAAACCCGACCGGGGAGCTCCGGGGGGGGGGAGTAATCATCACTCCTCAGCGGGCATGTGCTTCCAGGACCGGGGTCAGGCCATCTAACTTTGGAAGCCATGGCAGGTTAACAAAAACAATAAAATCCCACCCTCGAAATTGTCATTTTATCCGGGAAAAAGGAATATAAAACTCGCCATGTGTCGTTTTCTTATTTCAGCCGTTTACCCACTTTCAATCTTTCATATATAAAAAGAAATATCATAAATACATTAGGAGGGAAGACGCTACATGGGCACTAAAAGCTTACATTTTTAGCCTGTGCGACGCGTTTGCTTCCGAATTAATACCTTAATTGTACAGCTACTACATTGAATCGGTATCAATGTGGAGTACTCATATTCCAGTATAGAGCAAGAGTGGCAGCATGCTGCAGATTTGTTGTTGGGATCGTTTCAGTTAATGTGAGGCAACAGTACCCTCTGTTGGCACTGTCAGGAGACATAACCAAGCTGTCAGGGGGGTTGGGGGCGGGGGGGGGGGGGGGGGGGGGCTGTGACACCTTAACAAGCATTAACACACCTTATTCTTACAGAACGAAGCCTCCTTAAATCGCCATCTATACAGTTCAGACTTCCAGAGAGTCCTCAGAGCAGATCAGGTTCACTCAGAGGCAATTAATGGCCTTAATGGCCAATCATTCCACGCACACACACGCGCGCGCACACACACTTTGCTGCTCATTTAGCAGCCTGCGGATAAGTGCTTTGCGCCGACAGCCCGGCTGAACCTGACCACACAATCCAAACCTGCGCTTTGCCGTAATTTGGTCGAAAATACATTGTCGAATAAATATAAAAGCCTCTTATGGCCATTTAAAGTTGACACCATTTCCTGGCGGATCAGCACAGGAGTGTGCAGCCCCAGCAGCGCGTTTTACAGCTCGCCATTAATAAAACATGTCGGGCAATTTTAAGAGCATTAGAAGTTTGATTGCTTCGGGGCAGGCCTAGGGGACTTTCAGGACAGTAATTATTTATATAAATGAAATGTCATCTCAGCTCTGGCTCAAGCAGACATAACCTCTGCAGATGCCACATGGAAACGCCACAGCGCGGCCAAAGGGGCTGTCGGGCATTGCGCACAAATTCCGTGTGTGATATTACACGAAAAGTCTTCTTCCTGCCCGTGTTTGGGCACCGGATACCGGCGGGGGCTGCGGGGACAGGAGAGCAACAACAGTCGCGGACATGCCGGATGCTGAGAGTTAACATCATCCTGCGTGCACGCGCTCTTGCCTTTGCCATCTCTCTGTTGGCTGCGAGCTGGTCCTTGATCTTCTACCCATGGGTTTTTCAATAATACATCAGCCATAGCCATTATAGCATGTATCTGCAGGCTCCGGGCAAAAGCAGTTTAAAACGGGCCGCGCAGGGCCAAATACTCCACGGCTGTGGACACAGGAAGTGTTTTAAGTCCAAAGTGTTGCCTCTGAGGAGACGCGCGTCTCCCGTGGCGCGCGTCGTGGCTGAAGTAACCCGAACACACCGCAGGGCAACATCTGAACCAGAGATGTGCTGAGACGAAAGTTTTGCGCAACTAACACGAGACACCGTGTTGATATTCAGTCTCTTTAGCAAAAAAATCTTCGGGGTTTAGGCGGGCCCCTATGCGCACTCATAATTTATGGTAAAGCCTAAAACGAGGCCGGTGACATAGTTGAAAAGTGTAGCTCTTGCACATGAGTGGACAAGAGTGCATCCAGCCCGACTGGCTTTCGGTCTGGGTCACATCCTATGAAATGTCCCTTTTATATATTTCATATGACCCCATCTGCGAACTCTCCAAAGAAAACAAAAAATGATAAGAGAGTGTCTAAAACATTGCGTGGAATTAAAGCTATAAGAACAAAAGAAGACATTTTTTTTGTTTTGCTGGGGTTAACAGTGGAAGGCCTTCAAAGCAGCCATTTTGATGTGATTAACCACAATGTGACAGGGCTGACATAAACAATGAAAGGTCCACTCCAGGAGAGCTTGTGGTAATGTGAATATTGCTGTGGGATTTGCTTATAGTCGCTGCTTCATTATGCAATGTTTAATATTAATAAAGACAGTATAAGTATATATTATTCATAGGCTGATTTACTGTGCCTTGGCATGAGTGTGTGTGTGGACTTGAGTGACAGATTGAGATGCTCCTTTGCTATGGGCGATACAACCAGACAAGGCTTTTACTTTTCTACAGGACCCATCCTGACAATTTCTCCCACAGTTAAGAGGATTTGTCCGAGCAGGGGTGAATATATTATGCATGCATATTCCAAAGTTTAATGTGGCCGGAGTAAATGATTCAATGCTGGCTTTTCCGCAGAAGTGAGAGCAGGAAGGGGATGGAGAGGGCACAAGATGTTGGTCTACTCTTGCAACACGCTGCCTTGTGGCTGCATTTAAAGAAGACATGTCATCTCATGCATATCTGTTCACAATGACGTGGCCATAAAGTTTTTTTTTAATGGGATATAAGGAAACAGCCATTTAATCTAGATGTGTTGAGTTGAGGTCTATTTCCACAGATACCTGAAAAGTGTCACAGTTTTTAATTGGGGTCTCTTGTTTCTCCTTTTCTGTTGCGCACAAGAAAACATTAAATCGAAATGGTGTCTCTGGGACAGGAGAGAGAGAACAAAGTACGTGAATTATCTTTACCTGAAACCCATAAGTAGCAATAGTACACTTTTTTCTCTTACTCAGCACATTTTCCTATACAATGGATTATTTGCCCAAAATAGAAATATTGCATGATTGCAAACTGTGTAGTTTTCCATGTAAATTCAAAACCATCCATACAAATTGCTAAAAGGCTCTTTTTTAAAATGAATATCAGCATTATGAGAGTCAAGATTAATTCATCTTTAACAATGGACACTAAGTAAAGTAAACATTTTTTTTGTTTTTCTTGTTTATTGTGTTAAATTAATTCATAGATTGTTAGTGTTGACCAGCGAGATGAAATATACATTATTTGTAGATAATCAAGGTTTTTCAGGTGAGAAATCTAGAGAAATGTGGTTTCTTGTTAATGGTGGAGGGGACTGCATGCCTAAACCCAATAATTATTATTTGTCTCCCTCTAGTGGTATGGTTCAGTTAGTCATTTTATGTATTTGGTTGTGACATGTGCTGTACAACATAAAAAACACTAATTAATTTGGTTGTTTATAACATAAGATATTGTCAATGGGAATTCAAAGTATTATTAGACCTTTTCAAATGTATTACATTTCGAATAAGATACACGCAAAAAGATTATTTACAAAAAAAATTAGCACATCCCACGTGCACCCCAAATCCTGCGTCATGACGTTTGCTAACGATCGCTGACGTAGTGCAAAATGGCGGTGCCCTTGTTACAATGGGGTCTGTGGTTGATCACTTGTTAGCCAACTTATTGTGAATGACTGCGGACTAATCTCTCAACTGGCTCTTGAAAGGGATTTATTCCGACGCCTACATGATAAAGGTGCGTGTTATGCTCATTTTCAAATAAGAGGGCGGCGAACAGCATCAGTTCTTGCTACTTTTACTGGTTAGAGGCTCGTAGCATCAGCGGTGTTATAGCCTCGAGTGGAGCAAGTTTGCTAGCCGGGGTTAGCCAGCCGAGCGACTCTGGCAAAGAAACTCGCCTTTTAATTGGCACTTCCATTCTTCTTTTCTGACAGTTTATACTTCTTTAACATCGAAGTGTGCTTTAGTGACTCCTCTGCGTACATGTTACCGCGTACACATCTTAATATCCGTGCGCCCCTTTCATGTTCTGTCATACAACGCTAACTTGAGCTATTAAGTTAAGGTATTGAACTGAGCTATCGGTAGTGGGTAGTAGCAAGCCGCTAGCAATATGCTAATTCTGATACTTTCTTCGTCGACACCTCAGTAATTGCAGTGCTTTTCCTCTATTAATGCCCCTATAGCTTTCGAGAACTAGCAGTTATTGTATAGTTATATGTAAGTAAAAAAAAAAGCCAAATAACACCCGTTTTCCCTCGTCTCTCTCTCTTTTTTTATACTTACCGGTTTGCATATTTGACAGTTATTGATCCAACCACTCACATTTTTAGTGGGCTTTCTTCAAAATGTAATGGAGGTCTTATATGAAAGTCAAACTTGTTTTGCTACGAGATGGTTGCTTATAATAAATTCTAAAAAAGTTTTATTGTTTTACGCAACTGCTGTTGTAGTTTTTTCTAGGCTGTACTGCAGCTGATATTCGTTTATCACATAATGACAATATAATACCCTGATTGTTTACTCCCTACGTCAGTTCCCACTATAAAAAAAAGTAGTTTTCTTCTGTCTTGCATCTTAGCTGTCGAGTACAGCGGGTCCATCCACCTCCTCCCCTCAATCCATGAAGGAATCCAAGGAGAACTTTTCAGGCCAAGCTATGCTGGACCACATCAAGCCGTGTTGGTACTGGGACAAGAAGGATTTAGCCCACACCCCGTCCCAGTCTGAGGGCCTGGACCCGGGCACAGAAGCTCGCTACCGAAGAGAGGGAGCCCGCTTCATCTTTGACGTGGGGACCCGTCTTGGCCTGTATCCTTAATTGGTTTATTTATTTGAGAGGAGAGTTCTTGGTTAAGCACTAATACTTCCGATTTTCTTGATAACCATGCATTGGAAGGTGAGTTAATTAATGGAAGCGCTGTTAAACAAGGGAGATTTTTATATAATCATCTGCTCAAATTCGATGAGCTCGTCTAAACGGCTGTAGGAACCCTTGACAGTCTGCAGACACTACGACACACTGGCGACCGGCATCATTTATTTTCATCGCTTCTACATGTTTCACTCCTTCAAGCAGTTTCCCAGATACGTAAGTTACGTTTATGACTACCCTTTAAAAAAAAAAAAAAAAATTCTTATTCTCGACCATAAATGGGGACTAAACCATCTGTGCGGTCTGTGTTTCAACAGGTAACGGGCGCTTGCTGTCTTTTCCTAGCGGGAAAGGTAGAGGAGACTCCGAAAAAGTGCAAAGATATCATCAAGACGGCCCGCAGCCTACTGAACGATGTGCAGTTTGCACAGTTTGGAGAAGATCCAAAGGTGATGTTTATGTTGAGATGTTTTTCCCTGTCAAGCAAGTAAGAGTATAAATGTAGACTATATTTAGTCTTAAAGGTATCCCAGATTAATAAGACCATGACACCTTTTATGATTGGAAAGCGGGTCTTCACAGTTGTCCTAAATTGCATAAGCAGCAAAGTCCCTTTTCCTCTGGTTAGTCATCCCTAATTTAGTTGATACCCCCCACCCCCCTTTCCCTTTAATTCCCATTTCGTGTGGCGCATCTTCCCACATGACCCTGTCATGACTTTTTGGAGCCCATAAGCCATTCAGAGCTTAAAAACAGCGGTGGTTGAGGTTCAAACAGACTAAATGTAGTGGTCCCCTCGCAGCTGAGAAGCCTCAGCACCGAGCAGCATCACACAGTCCGGTCGGCGGCTTATGCTGAGCTTAACATTTTATGAACCTCTCTTTAATGCGAGTCACAGTTTGTTTCACAGCAGAGCCTCTGAAAGAACACGGCAAACTCGCAAAACAACCGCCATCCATCCACGTTCCTTAATATTTTAGATGGATCCCCCAGGATAAAAATATGCCTCCATGCACTATTGATGTCGCCTTGCTTTGTGAATAAAACATAAACGGATGGAGGACCTCGAAGCCTTGCCGCGAGCCGCCGTGTGTTTTTAGGCGGGGGGGCGCCGCCTGCTCCCTCCCACATCGCTCTGTTTCCCCACAGGAGGAGGTGATGGTGCTGGAGAGGATTTTGCTCCAGACGATCAAGTTCGACCTGCAGGTGGAGCACCCCTACATGTTCCTGCTGCGCTACGTCAAGCAGCTCAAAGGTGAGACGGGGCGAGTGGGGGGCCAGCGGGGGGCGAGCGGGGGCCGCTGGGCGTGGCTGACCGGCACTGACCCCCGGCGTTGTTGTCCACAGGGGAGAAGAATAAAGTCTGCAAGGTGCTGCAGATGGCCTGGACGTTCGTCAACGACAGGTGAGCGGAGGGCGGGTGGTGTCTCTTACGGTCAGAGGCGTGGCGGCCGAGTGGAGCCGGACTGACGCTGACCGGCCCGTGCGCGGGCAGCCTGTGCACCATGCTGTCGCTGCAGTGGGAGCCGGAGATCATCGCCGTGGCCGTCATGTACCTGGCCGGCCGCCTGTGCAAGTTCGACCTGCAGGAGTGGACGGCCAAGCAGTCGTCGCGGCGCTGGTGGGAGCAGTTCGTGCAGGACGTCCCGGTGGAGCTGCTGGAGGACATCTGCCACCAGATCCTGGACCTGTACTCCCAGGGCAACAAGCCCATCCCGCAGCAGCTGCAGGAGAAGGAGCGGGCCCCGCCCGTCCCCGTCCCCGCCCCCCCGGTGCCGCAGGGGCAGCCGCCCGCCGCCGCCAACCCTCCCCCCCCACCGCCCAAAAAGACCCCCCCCCAGGGCAGCAGCCCCGCGCGCCAGCTCAAGCGCTCGCACGTAAGCCAGATGTTACAGATGTTACAGGCCACACGTTTTAACTGGATCATTCACCTCTGTTCAGAGTCTCAGGATCTCTTTTTCGTCATTTTCTTTCAGACCTCTCCCAAAGAGGAACCCAAACCACCAGGTGAGACCTTTGTCAGACTTTTCGGCCGTTGATTCAGAGGCGGTCGGGTCAGTGTTTTCCCAGCTGGACTGTGATCGGACAGATGTGTAAGCGAGAAATATAAAGTCACCAAATGCATCCCTGGCCAATTTGCAGAACAAGTTGGATCAAAGATTCCCCGTCTGGAGAGCCCCATGCCCCCCCTCCCCACATCGCAGCCCCCCCCAGGTAAGCATAAGCGTCTTTCTGCTGACATCTATCTGAAAAGTTTTTTTTTTTTAAATGGATCACATGATGGTATCCTTGAAACCCCCCTTTTGAAAGGTCCTTAAAAAACCGCCCGGCCCCCCCCCCCCTTCACTCCTCCATCATCAGCAGGCTAAAGGCCTTCAGCCTGCTTACATAACAGCAGCTCGTCTGGACATGGTTCAGGGACACGTACACACTCCTGAACTATTCCAGACCAATCTGATTAGTGCTTAAGCCTCATAATGAGACCACCTCCCCAGCCCGCTGTGCGCTGGCTGTCTGGGCGCGGGCAGGTTATTAGAGGTCATGTTTGGGGGGGTGGGGTGGGGGGGCTGATTTAGAGGTGGGACGGTGGGGTATTTTTAACATCTCATCTCTCCTCAGCTCCTCCAGCAGAAGCAGAACCAGGAACTGAAGTGGCTCCCCCGCCGCCACATGCCCCCCCCCCACACCAGCCCCCTCCCCTGCCCCACCGCCCTCCCCCCCCTCCACCCTCCAACTACCTGATGTCCACCACCAGCTCCTACATGTCGGGAGAGGGCTACCAGAGCCTGCAGTCCATAATGAAGACAGAGGGGCCCTCCTACGCCCCCATGCCTCCAACCTACGCGCCTCCCATGCCCCCCTATCACCCCCATGTCTACCCGCCACCTACGGCGCCCCCCCCAGGCTCCCTTCCTCCCCCCCCCCCCCATCCCCCCTCCGCCCATTTGGCCTCCATCCTACCCACCGCCAGGCTACAACAGCTATCCTCCGCCGCCTCCGCGCATGCCGCCGGGCCACGTGCCCCCCCCAGGAATCGGCCTTCCACCCGCAGGGTACCCCCCTCCACCCCCCGTGCCCCCAGGACAGTCACAAGTGCCCCTGCCTCCCCCGCCCGGCATGCCCCTGAACCGGGGCGGCTGGCTGAGATGAGACTGAGAACAGCTCTGCTCGTACTTTACCGGGACAGCAACCCCCCCAATCCCCCCAGAAAGAGAAAACAGAAGACAATTGGTGCTGGTTCATCTTGAGCACCACAGCGTTGTGAGGGAAATGGCCTTAGATGGAAGAAGCTCGGCCACAAGAACCAGAAGAGTGACTTTGAAGGCGTCTTGAATGGTTTGGAAATGGTGACTCAGACACACAGGGCGGTTCTGGTGGTGCCCAGCAGGAGGGTTCCAAAAACCAAAACAGTCTGATTTTTGTTTTTGTCCTGGGAATGTACCGAGAAACATAAGCACCGTTTGTTTTTTTGTTCCTTCTTTTCTTCACATCATTGCAAGGATTTTTTTCCCTTCAACACTGATCAAAGGTTAAGCTGTATTCCCTTTTTATTATCCGTCACATATGTGGAAAGAAATTGATCATATTCTTTGTCTTTTAATTTTACTTAAACACGTTCACGCTGTTTGTTTTTGTAATTACGTGCTTTCCCCCCATTCCTTAACAGTATTGTTCTTATTTAGTAGGTTTCCGTGCACCTGCTCAGACAGTAAAGCTGACAACTTGTCAAATTCAGCACGTCTCACACTGGACGGTGTGGATTTGTACATAACGCGTTCAAAGCCTGTGATTTTGAGAGCTTCTACCTGTGCCTTCTTCAGGCCTCTCCTCTGTATCCTGCCCTTAGCTATGGTGACGTTTCTCTACAGTCATCACGAGATTAAAGACTTGTTTTTTTTCTTTAAACAGTCGAGTCTTTTCTATTTACTCGGGTTTGTGCCGCACAGCCGTAATTTCCCAGTTATTTAGACAAAGATGGTCAACTCTATTCCCAACAATCCAGACAGCTGTGTGTGTGTTGTGCCAGCAGAGGGCAGTCTAACGCAATAACGACAGTCCACAGTCATGAAGCAACTTTTTATTTTTCTCCCAATTTTCCTATAAGTGGCCTAGTTCAAGTTCGGAGTGCCCAAAGTTTTCATCTCATGTTCATGAAAAGAAGTTACAGTCATGCTAGTTGCTACAGGAATACACAATTATGCTGCAGAGTCTAGGTTTTTGTACTGTGGTTTCATCATTTAGGTGGAAAAAGAAGCCTTTTATTTTAATAGAAAAAAAAAACAGTTTCCAAATCAAAACACTATCAATAAAACGTGGCACATCTCAAATTAAATGCCATTTATTAAGTATTCAAAATTGTATCATGGCTTTAAAATCAGTTCCTAGAAAAAAGGACACTTTTCTTTCCCCTCTCCTTTTTTTAACCATTATTTAAGAGAAAAAGAGGTCCGTGATTGGCAACCTCGAAAATGTTCTAATTTGGAACAAATAGCACTAGAGATGAGACGAGCCCGTCAGTCACTAAACAAATCCACCAGCTAACTTTAGACGCTGAGAAAATCTGACCTGATCCGTCTGGTCACCGACTGCTCTCCCCTTCTCTACCTCACGCAGAGCAATAAATACACCAACAAACTTGAGTTTGTTCATTTTGACATCGACAAATGTTAGTTTCATGGTGTGGGAACATCAAAGGGAAGACTTCTCGTATTCTATGAAAAAGAAAAAAAAAACATGCACGGCATGGACCTACCTGCTGAATCCATGACTAAAAAAAAAGGGGGGTTTCATTTGATCAGTTTTTCTCATAGGAAACATCTTTAAAAAAAAAAATGCAGAAAACACTGAAAGTGTACATAGGGTTTAGTGCTGGACCATAAAAATATTATTGCAGTTCATGGGACACAGCTTTCTAAATGGGAGTCAGAAAATAAAACCGGATTCAACAGCCAAAAATAAAATAAAATTTAAAAAAAAATCACAGGCAGTTTCTACAGCTGAAGCATAGCCATCCAATTCTTCATCCACACACACACAGAGTTGTAGATGTGAAAGGTAAAGCTGTAGCCCCCCCCCCCCCCACCCCCCAACCTGAGAAAATGATTGTCGAGCATGCACACGGCATCCAATTCTAGTTAGTTTCACAAAGCAAAAGAAGTCATCTGTCTATTAACTAGTGGGAACGTTAGATTCAGAATGTCCATGATACTTTTTCAGTGGTTAAAGAGGTGAGGGATAATAATTCATCTGGAAAACAATAATTAAAAAAAAGAAAAGTAAAACCAAACGCAAACCCTGTTGAAGGTCTGATTCTGTGTGTGCTTTTGAAACTGAATTATTGATCACATGGCCACGCTAGAATATGAAATAGATCAAAGTAAAGTCAACAGTAATAATGGAAGTAGTGCTATGCTTTTATACATAATATACACAAGTTAACAGTGATCCCTAGGTTATCAACAGACTTGTCTTATGAGCAAAAGGCGCTAGATCACAGTGGGTTTCACTTAGTTAACATTTTTAGAATGCTAATCCTAGTTATACTCATTGCCACTAAAAGGGGAGGGGGGTTACAAGTGACGGGAGCCGGGGTCTCTAAAGGAATGACTATCAAAATTAACCTGGACATGCCGCCACGCCGTCTCTCTTCCTCTGTGGACCCGTCAGGTCTGTGCTTGGAACCATGTTGCACCGCCGGCTTCTAACAGCGCAGCTGTGCTCGACTAAACGGACCAAAATGAAAAGCGGGGGGGTGCGTTTGTTCTGCTTTTCGGAGACACGAAGTCGTAGGTGTGTGTGTTCGCATGGATGAGAAAAAACAAGCGGGCGGATCGGTGAGACTAGCTGCCGGTTGCTGTCGGATTTTTTTTTCTTTTCTTTTACTTTTTAAAAACCCGTTGATGCAAATTGGACGCGCAAAACAACAGTCCTTTCTGCGGCCGCCTGGGGCCGGCCGGGGAGTGCTTGTCGGAAGGGGAGGGGGGGGGGGGGGCGCTGGGTGTGGTGGGAACGCGGCGGGCGGAGATCTGGGGTTTTGTGTTTTCGTTTTTCTTCCAGGTGAGCGATCCTGGTCGGTCCCCGTCCGGCGGCGGCGGCGGGCTTTCCCCCGGCTACAGCGGCCCCTTGAACTGGTTCCCGGACAGGTGCTGTCGGACGGACAGCTTGGACCCAGCGGCGTCGCCCAGTTTCCTCCACACCACCTGCAAGCACACGGAGGGGTCAGGGACTGAGGGACCAAGGAGGAACCGGGACGGGGAGGAAGAGGCGGAAACCCGAGGCTGCACAGACACACACTCTCACACACAGTCTCACACACACACGTGCTATTCAGTGCAGGGGAGCTACCTCCGTCCCCGTCCTTTTTTTTCCTCACCCATCCAACGAGAGGGGCCCCTGGGGGACCCCGGTGATACTACAGAGGCGCCATTGTAGCGCTCCCCGGATTCCTGGCCTGTCACATACCTCTGCAGAGCCCAGAGAGCCAGACTCTCCCTCCCTCTCTAATCATCAAACCTTTTATTCTGGGCCGGGCCCCTTTTCATCGCCAGCAGAAAAAAGGATGGATGGAAAAGAGGGGCAGAGGAGAGGAAGAATGGACATGAGGGGCTGCGAGGCGGGGAGGGGGAGGGGGAGGGGGGGTGTTCTTTTCCCTGCCGCTCAGATTTAATTGCTCTGACAGCTCGACTATAAGTCTCCACGGAGGGCTTCCAGGGGAGGGTTGGCTTTGGAGCGAGGGAGATGGAGATGGGCTGGGAGTGCTGCGTCCAGGGCTGGGCGGCAAGTGTCATATTTGAAACTAAATGAGTCTTAAATGAGCTCCTCGTTAGCAAAAGTAACTCCGAAAACAGAAACGAGTCCAAATCAGCGGAGAAAAAAGTGATCAATAGACGTGACAGAAATAAAGACAGCTAAATTAACCCTAATTATTAGCTCAAAAAGTGAGACGTGATCAGTAGTCGGCTGTCAAAATGATGAAAACTACTGCATGTGTAAGTAACGACTCACTCTTTCTTGAAAGAAAGCACTTTTTCTTTCTCTTTCTTTAAATACGAGCCCAGCTTATACAGTCTATAACCTATAGGATAGGTTACATATGATTGCCCTAGAGCTAGTTCAGCTAGCTTCTAGGTTCAAGGCCTAAGAAGCCCCTTAGATTTTTGCCCAGGGCCGTGGATTCTCGGCTCACCGATGAGCAAACCTAAGCCTGCTATCCATTATCCATAACCCTAACCCGAGCTTTCACAGCCTTCTTTGAACGCACTTTGAATGCTCAAACTTGGCCTTAATGTGTTGTCCAGCTTGCGTCTTTTAGCTCCCCTGACAGCTTGCTAGCGCATTGTTGCATTTGGTTCCTCGTGGGTCGTGCAAATAAAAAAAAGAATAAAAAGAGTGTGCCATCCCAACGCATGCGCACATCTTCTGTTATTTATATTTGGGCCAAACAGCCGTCACACTCACGTTGCACATCTCTCGCACAATCGCCTTCTCTTTCTCGCTGAGATCGTCCTCGTAGTCCTCTGGAACCTGCTTGTCCAAATTCTCGTGGACCTCCAGCACCTGGTAAACGGGTAAAAAAAAAAAAGAAGAAGGGTGTTTTGACTTTTTAGCTCAGAAATCAGACTGCTATGAACGTGGATGAGATCAGAACCGCTCTGCATTCCCTCATTTGATATAAAAAAAAAAAAGAAGAGCAGTCTTATTTTTCTTTTAAAAATTGAATTCATTGAACACTTTACCTTCATAGCGTGCACCACTGCCTCTGGCTTCTGGACGCAGGACAGATAGCCCGTGGCGGGAGAGGACTCGCTATTTGGCAGTCGGCTCGTGCCCTGAGGAGAGGAAAAGCTATTTGAGTCCCACAGCATCAGCAGAGAAGTGATGGAAGGACTGGGGCAAAGGTGAAGAGAGAGGCGTGGCCCTCGGCATCTGGAGGACAGGCCCCCGCAACCCATCGGCCTCTCATCTCCGCTACCCCCTCTAGTGTGTGTCCTGGTTGAGTTTAAGGGCCATTTCCTTCCATCCACCGGGCATCCAGCTTCCAGCTCCGCTACCTGCCCTAACCCTGGTGTGATGGGGGCAGCCAGCCAGGGGGAGGGAGGGGGCTGTCGGGATGTTTGCTTGACTCATCCTAACCCCCCCTGACCCCCCCCCGGTGGGCTCCAGACAGTGGCTCTCTGTCTGAGCGACAGAGATCTCCGGGGCGCACAATGGCGCCATTCACCGCGACCTGGCATGGGGAGCCCGCATT